GTGAGAACTATCTGATAACTCCTACAATTTGACAAACAGAAATACCTAAATAGTTATACTTCACTTGTCTCGTGAGAACTATCTGATAACTCCTACAATTTGACAAACAGAAATACCTAAATAGTTATACATCACTTGTCTCGTGAGAAATATTTGATAACTCCTACAATTTGACAAACAGAAATACCTAAATAGTTATACTTCACTTGTCTCGTGAGAACTATCTGATAACTCCTACAATTTGACAAACAGAAATACCTAAATAGTTATACTTCACTTGTCTCGTGAGAACTATCTGATAACTCCTACAGTTTGACAAACAGAAATACCAAAATAGTTATACTTCACTTGTCTCGTGAAAGCTATCTGATAACTCCTACAATTTGACAAACAGAAATACCTAAATAGTTATACTTCACTTGTCTCGTGAAAGCTATCTGATAACTCCTACAATTTGACAAACAGAAATACCAAATTATTGTTATATTTCACTTGTCTCGTGAAAGCTATCTGATAACTCCTACAGTTTGACAAACAGAAATACCAAAATAGTTATACTTCACTTAATTATCTGAAAAACAAAGTTTAAATTTGCTAAAATTTAATTATTCAATCAACATACGAAATAAACTTTCAGGTTTTTAGTAGTACAAATAGTTCAATAAAACTACAAGTAAATAAATATTAATTATTTGGAAAGCACATTCTACAAGGTTTGAAATGTATTTGTCAATATATTCCCTACATTTATTACAATAACGTTTTCATGAATGTTCAGTGTTGTGTTACGAAAACAAGTATAAATGACTTAACTCAAAAGCAACAGTAAAACTGGAAATGCTACAGCTAGCGATCATGATTGTAAAATGAAACTAGTGGTAGAACTGGAGAGAAATGTAGAGGATAAAACGAAAGATTAAACCTGAATACTTTCAGAACCTGATATGGTAGACCTTACCTTTTAATGTTCTATAGTAGGTAAAATGGAATATAAACAAAAGGATAGATAGAAATAAAAAATGGTATTTGTACATAAGTACATTACTGTTTTAATTATATGTAGGTAAAATGTATGAATTCCGAATTTCTTCTTAACGTTACTAGAAACTGAAGAATCGACAAAAAATATGGAAGTTGCTACATATATACAGAGGTTAAGTACGTTACATTTAAAACGATTTTGGAGCCTCACTACGTCGTTATAGTTCAGGTGCCGCGTCCGGTCGTACCTTATCTCACGACTGTGTATCTTGAATATAGCCCTGCAGCGTAGTTTCTACTAGAAAAGACTCAGTAGTATGGCTGTCGTGTCCAACGTACATTACTTTTCCCTGAGTGTTTCTATAAACCATGTTGCCTACGAGAACGACAGTTTCCAAGTCCTTTTTCAACAGTCCGATTGCATAGAAATTTATAGGCACTGTATCCAGTGACTTGGTCAGCATGTCATAGTATGGAGTAGCGTGAATACCCGTTTCATTCTCTAACTTTTTGAAGTATGCTATAAACGAACGGATACGTCGTAGAATCTCTTGTGGAGATGTGACTTGTATCACTTTATGGAAGAGGATAATTTTTTATAATGTTGCCTGGGATAAGCGGATGACACTTGCCACTGACCTTTATGTTCGTGGATTCTTACAGCACTTTCCTAACCGCTTACCACAGATGGGGTGCGACTTGTTTCAGATCTCTTTCTGGATGAACTTGGTGCGCAGAGTTGATCTATATTTCTGTTTTCCAGTGTCATTAAATAAAAGTGATATCTCCGTCTTGGAAATTCTAAGTCCACAATCTCAATACACCTTTATGACCTTAGTGTATAAACATTTTGCTATGGAAAGGGCTGTTACATATATTTTCCAAAAGCAACCTATTTTCAGTGGTATCACATTGCCTAGGTAGCAAGAAACTATATCAATAGGTAATTTTAATACAGCGATTTTCACAGCGATTCCATATCGGAGTGGTTTTAGCATAAGTACTCAATATAACGTACTTAACCTTCTGTTTTAATATAAAGTACTCAACCTTCTGTTCAATATAACGTACTTAACCTTCTGTTTTAATATAAAGTACTCAACCTTCTGTTCAATATAACGAACTTAACGTCATCTATTAATACAAAGTACTCAATCCTCAATTCAATATAACATACTTAACCTTTTGTTTTAATATACTGTACTCAACTCTCTGTACATAACAAATAATATACTTGGGTAACATACTTTACTTAATAGAGTTACTTCTTAAGTATTTTTATACATTATACAAAATGTTACTTTTAAAGTATCTTTATACATACTTTATTTAATATAGTTACTTCTAAAGTATTTTATACATACTTTATTTAATATAGTTACTTCTAAAGTATTTTATACATGCTTTATTTAATAGAGTTACTTCTAAAGTATTTTATACATACTTTATTTAATAGAGTTACTTCTAAAGTATTTTATACATACTTTATTTAATAGAGTTACTTCTAAAGTATTTTATACATACTTTATTTAATAGAGTTACTTCTAAAGTATTTTATACATACTTTATTTAATAGAGTTACTTTTAAAGTATTTTATACATACTTTACTTAATAGAGTTACTTCTAAAGTATTTTATATATACTTTACTTAATAGAGTTACTTCTTACGTATTTTTATACATTATATAAAATGTTACTTTTAAAGATCTTTATACATACTTTGTTTGATATTGTTACTTCTAAAGTATCTTTATACATACTTTGCTTAAGAGTATTACTTCTTAAGTATTTTTTTACGTAATTGAATCTTTTTAAGTATTTGAGCTCCGTTTTGTAAAACAAGGACAAGTAACTCACTCCAAAACCCCATTTTTATTTGCATTTTAAAATAGTTCGAGATTCACAAAGCCAGTTGGATTCAATAAGATATAACACTTCGTATCAATCATCCCTAAGAGTTTATAGCATTGTAAGTAAACATTTTTGGAAGATTAAAGGAATAAATATTAAACGTTTATAACGAGCTTATAAGATTTATTCGAGTACTTTTACCTCCCTAGTTTTGGACGTATCAATTCCTAGACTCTGCATTAACCGCAGTATTTGTTCATTGAACTCTCCAAGTTTTACCGCTTCTCTGTCACTAGGATAAGGGCCAACATGTTGTGAAAGTGATGGAGGGATAGCACTTTCTAGTTGCATCCATTTATGTCTTTTGATATGCTCTACAGTAAACCTTTTGTTTGGGTCTAACACTAGCATCCGACGAATCAAGTTTTCACATTCTAGAAAATAAACCAAACAACAAAAAATAGTATCATAACATACATCAATAATATTTACTTAGAAGATTAACATTTGCCCAGCAAAGATATTAAATTATCTGATACAATTCTCCAGTTTTGAAATTAATTTTGATATCTTCAAGATTACACCATAGATATAATTATAATGTTAAGGATGCCTCTGAATTTCTGTACTGAAATTATTCGTATAATGATTTATTTTGCAAAAAATAATTAAAAACTTAGTATTTTGGCATGATCTTAAAGTTGGAAATAAACGAATTTATTCTCATTTATGTGAGATATATTCAGTAGGAACAGTAGCTGTGAGATATATTTAGTAGTAATAGTATCTGTGAGATATATTCAGTAGGAATAGTAGCTGTGAGATATATTTAGTAGTAATAGTATCTGTGAGATATATTTAGTAGGAATAGTATCTGTGAGACATATTTAGTAGGAATAGTATCTGTGAGATATATTTAGTAGGAATAGTATCTGTGAGATATGTTTAGTAGGAATAGTATCTGTGAGATATGTTTAGTAGGAATAGTATCTGTGAGATATGTTTAGTAGGAATAGTATCTGTGAGATATGTTTATTAGGAATAGTATCTGTGAGATATATTTATTAGGAATAGTATCTGTGAGATATATTTAGTAGTAATATATCTGTGAGATATATTTAGTAGGAATAGTATCTGTGAGATATATTTATTAGGAATAGTATCTGTGAGATATGTTTAGTAGGAATAGTATCCGTGAGACATATTTAGTAGGAATAGTATCTGTGAGATATATTTAGAAGGAATAGTATCTGTGAGATATGTTTAGTAGGAATAGTATCTGTGAGATATGTTTAGTAGGAATAGTACTGTGTAACCTAAGAATGAAAATTTCGGTTTAATTCTAAAGTTGCCATTTAAAGTTTTCTAACGAATCTAAAGGAATATTGACACGAATTACATGGGAGTGTTAAAACAGAAACTAGTATCAGTTATATGCACCGGGAAATTCTACGGATACATTTTCGTGATTGTTAACTGTATTGAACAAATCGTATCTAAATTTAAAAAGCTATTTTCTTTCAAAATGGTAAGAAAAATACTGGAGATATTGAACCTTTCATAATCACTCCATACTAAAAAGCATCAAGTAGATAAAACGTTTAGGGTTTGTTTGTTTTAGAGCAAAGACACTTTGGGCTATCTGCTGTGTCCATGCGGTGATTCGAACCCCGGATTCTAGCGTTGTACGTGCGTAAATTCACCCCTATCCCACAGGAGAACAAAACGTTTAGGTGTGTACATATTAAGTAGGCCCGGAATGGCCAGGTGGTTAGGGGGCTCGACTCGCAATCTGAGGGTCGCAGGTTCGAATCCCCCTCACACCAAACATGCTTGCCCCTTCAGCCTTGGGGGCGTTATAACGTTTTTCCACTATTTGTTGGTAAAAGAGTAGCCCAAGAGTTGGCGGTGGGTGGTGATGACTAGCTGCCTTCCCTCTAGTCTTACACTGCAAAATAAGGGACGGCTAGCGCAGATAGCCCTCGTGTAGCTTTGCGCGAATTTCAAAACAAACAAACAAACAATTAACTTGGCCAGCTACTAACCTCAAAACGTTTAGGTGTGAACATATGAAGCATAATTTAACTTGTCCTGCTATTGGCCTCGAAACGTTTAGTTGTGAACATATGAAGCATAATTGAACTTGTCCTGCTATTGGCCTCGAAACGTTTAGTTGTGAACATATTGATATTTAATATTGAAAGAAACGCCTCGTTGACAGTAGCATCAACAAACAAGATGTAGTTGTGTATTATTGTATTATTTCTGTAAGTTAGAGGTATAAAGTAGTGACAAGTAAAATTATGGCTAAATTTGATCAATATGGCGAATTTTACGATTAGCCATAGATTTGTATTTTATTCTATCTTTTAAAAAAACAGCTGCCAAATCTCACTCAAGTGTAAGCTTTTAATTATTCTTAAAGTGAAATAAGTTATACCAATGTGTTAAAACTTATACTCAACCTACTCTTACATATACTGGTAGCACTAGATGTAATATTATCCCACATAAGCATATTTTTCAATTCTTTGCTTGACACATTAAAGTATTATACTTAAAGTGAAATAAGTTATACCAATGTGTTAAAACTTTTATACTCAACCTACTCTTACATATACTGGTAGCACTAGATGTAATATTATCCCACATAAGTATATTTTTCAATTCTTCGCTTGACACATTAAAGTATTATACTTATTGTGAAATAAGTTATACCAATGTGTTCAAACTTTTATACTCAACCTACTCTTACATATACTGGTAGCACTAGATGTAATATTATCCCACATAAGCATATTTTTCAATTCTTCGCTTGACACATTAAAGTATTATACTTATTTGATTTTTTGAGAGAACAAAAACAAGGCAAGTTTATCTAAGGCTAGAAAAATAACTTGACAGTGAAAGATGTTTAAATTAATAGCCGATTAACCAATCAGGACCAGTGTAATACCTACTTAAGACAATGCAGAAGGAACAAAGCACTTAAACCATAAATATTTTTCTTAATTAAAGAACACGACATAGTGTGACATGAAATCACTTATGATAATGTTCAAATACTTAACTGGAAGGCAACCTTTAGTGTTTTTAATAGGAGTTAGTGTCCAATACATAGTACGCTTCAATAGCTACTGAAGATACTAAGTTATGATGAAGAGTATTTTTCAGAAGCATAAATGCAATTATTAGATATCAATTATTTTCCCAATGGCTAAGTCCGAGGACTCGTAACGGTAAAAATTGGGTTTCGATAAACGCGGAAGACAGAACACAGATAGGCCATTGTGCAGCTTTGTAGTTAACAACGAACTTAATCTAGATATTCCTACCTGAAGACATGAAGTATGGAATACGAAAACGACCAGGCAACAATCGTTCCTACCTGAAGACATGAAGTATGGAATACGAAAACGACCAGGCAACAATCGTTCCTACCTGAAGACATGAAGTATGGAATACGAAAACGACCAGGCAACAATCGTTCCTACCTGAAGACATGAAGTATGGAATACGAAAACGACCAGACAACACTCGTTCCCGAAGGACCTGAAGACTACTGCCGTCAAACGGTAGGTTTCCACACACCAAGACATAGAGTACAACTCCCAAACTCTAAAATCAAAAAATACCTTTTTTTTTATTTGAATGACAAAAGTTAAAAAAAAATAAACAGATAATTAAGTATACGAAGAGGACGAACCTCAAGATATCACAATTATTTCGTGCTTTATAAAGAAAGACAAATTATGAAATGAACTACAGTCAAATTGAAACATGGCCTTATAGTAATTAATATATCTGATATATTGACACACCTGATACAACATGGACGTTTCTACGAAATTCAAACATAATTCTCATGAGTGATAACATATCATGAAAATTATTAAAAAATGTTTACGAAAACAGTAATATTCAACGTTTGTTTCGGCTGCACATTTTTGACACGAAAAGCATTATCATTCAATATTTGTATCAGTCATAAGGGTGTGCAAGCTGCACTTTTCTATAAGAAAGACAGTAACATTCAATATTTGTATGTCATAAGGAGATGCGAGGCAACATTTGTTCGATAAGCATTAATATTTAGTATTTGTTTCTGTCATAAGGGTATGCCAGGACCCACTTCTTTGAAATTATGTAAGTTATAAGAATATGATAGGCGCATTTATTTATAGGAAAAACACTAACATTCAACATTTCGCACTTTATTCCGACGTGAAAAACACTAACATTCAACATTTCGCACTTTATTCCGACGTGAAAAACACTAACATTCAACATTTCGCACTTTATTCCGACGTGAAAAACACTAACATTCAACATTTCGCACTTTATTCCGACGTGAAAAACACTAACATTCAACATTTCGCACTTTATTCCGACGTGAAAAATAGAAACATTCAACATTTGTACCTATCATAAGCTGCACTTTTCTATAAGAAATAGGGCAATATTCAATGTTTCCATCACTCATAAGATTACGGTAGGCCACTTGTAAGATATGAAAAGTAGTAACATTCAATATATGATCTGTCATAACGGTATGCCAAGCCCGTTTTGATATGTAAAGCAGTAACTTTCAATATATGTATCTATATAACTGTATGTCAGGCCCGTTTTGATATGAAAAGCAATAACCTTCAATATATGTATCTATCATAACTGTATGTCATGCCCGTTTTGATATGAAAAGCAATAACCTTCAATATATGTATCTATCATAACTGTATGTCAGGCCTGTTTTGATATGAAAAGTAGTAACATTCAATATATGTATCTTTCATAAAGATATGCCAGGTCTGTTCTGATATGTAAAGCAGTAACCTTCAATATATATATATATATATATCATAACGGTATGCTAGGCCACATTTTTCTATAAGAAAATTAGTAACATTTAATATATTTCACAAAGATATGCCAGGTCGCACTTTTTTTAATGTGAGAAGAAGTAGTAACATTCAAAATTTCCATCAGTGGTAAGTGTTTGTCAAATCGAACTTTTTAATAAGAAAAGCACTAATATTAAATATTTATATCATTCATAAGGATATGCCAGGCCTCACGTTTTCATAGTTCAAATTCCTTTAGATTATTGACAGTGACATTACGAGATAAGACACTTTATGAGCAAAAGCTCTTCAATAACAAAATCGGAAATGATTACATTGGATAAATGAGCAGCTAGATTTAATGTGTTTGCCAAGACTTGTACTTTATAGGATAACAAAGAGACCGTCGTGTCTTTACAAAGGCTCCAAGGAAACTTTTGATTTGTGTTGTATACATACATATTAGTATTTTCACATACTAAATCATTTTTAAAGAGTTTGTACTTATACTTAAAATTGACTTTTTGAATCAGCCTCTTAATTGTTGGTACACTTTACGTACTGATGTTATTCAACTACATACCCATACGTCAATTTCTGGGCCAACGTATTTCTTGCCTTCAAATACTTCGGGTGCTGCGTATGGAGGACTCCCACACCACGTGGTCAGCCAGTTGTCCATAGAGTAGTAATTACTGAAACCAAAGTCTACAAAAAATATTTCTAAACTAAATAAGCTTAATAAGCACATTATTTTAAAGACATATGGTATAAATATATGTACATGTAACATATAAATACTGTAAATGTAAAACAAAAGGAATGCAATTGCCGTTTTCAATCTAAACGGCACTTTTTGAGCACGTGGACTAAACAGCTAGGTCAGAGACCCGTGTGGTTCAGGTACAGCCGTCCGTAGCTTTGAACTACTGATCATAAGAGATGTAGCTATGACATGCTAACCTCTAGCCCACGCTTGGCCTTGTAAAAATAAGAAACTTCATATATTATCATATATAGTTTTGTGGTATTTCCTGGGGTATTGGCTTCCTCCAAGTGTGACAAGATTGATTCTGCAGAAGATTCGACCAGGAACAGACCATGGATCAAATCTGAATTGTCTTACTTTGACTGAGTTCGAATAATGACAGATTGAACATAATGTGTGATAGAATGAAACAATCTATATTTACACTCATAAACACAGTCAGTATAAATTGTGGATACACAAAATGATGGTGACTTTACTGGAGAGAGCTATTTATATTTAAAAAGTTGTTTCTCACGAGAAGTGTTTGAAGTTATACACAGAAACCAACAATGCTAGTTTCTCAGGGCGCGTGCACTATCGGCGTGACTGTTCATCATTCCCAATGAACCATAAGGGAGGTTATATCCTCGAAACTTCACCAGACCGGCCAGTAGGAAAGGTACTACTTTCACACGTAGTATGCACAGCTTTGCCAGAACCTTTCCTACAGGTGGACAAAAGTGATACCATAGGCAAATGACTGAAACAATAGGGTAAGAGCGAAAGGAATTTTGCTATTTTTTAAGTTTCTTAACTGACGTTCAATGTTAAAACTGTATACATCTGAATAGATGAAATTGTGAAAATTTCTATATTAAAACAAGGGTATGCTTGCAGATAATTTGGAAATGTGACTCATTATCAGTAACTAACATAATGCAAAGATGTGCATACCTGCTATCTTGATGTTCATGTTTTCATCAAGTAAAAGATTTTCTGCCTAGAAGAGAACCAAAATATAAATTAAGGTAGAATAACACGTTATTCATTATAGAGGAAAAATAACCAAAATATAAATCAAGGTAGAATAACACGTTATTCATTATAGAGGAAAAATAACCAAAATATAAATCAAGGTAGAATAACACGTTATTCATTATAGAGGAAAAATAACCAAAATATAAATCAAGGTAGAATAACACGTTATTCATTATAGAGGAAAAAGAACCAAAATATAAATCAAGGTAGAATAACACGTTATTCATTATAGAGGAAAATCAATTGATTGGCTTAAGTATATTTTTATTAACGTTTGTACACAAAAGAAATTGAAAGTTATATGCTTAGAAAGACGTTCACCGGAATAAAAATTACATCTTGAAAATGTTTTCTAAGCTATAATCGTTCCAAAATTATTGGATAATTCATATGTTATTTAACAGTACAAATTTACATTCAGCATCATTTTTTTTTTTTATTTCTTGGAAAAAGTGGTTTTCAAATAACCAACATTTTTAACAAAGTTTATTTCACAACATTATCCATTATCTATGTACAAATGTGTTCATGTCAATCATATTTTTAAAAAGCTGGAAGTTTTTCTAGTACAGAACGAGTATATGTGTCTATACATTCACACATATATTTAACACACTCTACATTCACACACAAGCTTATATATTTAACACACTCTACATTCACACAAGCTTATATATTTAACACACTATATTCACACAAGCTTATATATTTAACACACTCTACATTCACACACAAGCTTATATATTTAACACACTCTACATTCACACAAGCTTATATATTTAACACACTCTACATTCACACAAGCTTATATATTTAACACACTCTATATTCACACAAGCTTATATATTTAACACACTCTACATTCATGGCCATTCGACGGTACAATACTGGTATAGACTGAAGACTATTGTAGCAGTCCTCTTCAAGGAAGGATATACTTATAGTGAATTAGGAAAGAGAAGCAAAACCCACTGCACATCAATAACACAAAGAATATCATCGAAGATAAGCACGCCTAAATGAGAATGTAAAATCAGCATCCTACTATATGCAGGACTGCCAATATCATTTCCAAAATTTACAGAACAGTCAATACAGATGCTGTACCACTATGACATTCCCTATAACTAGATATGATTTAGTTGTCTGTTAAAAAATGTGTACAATCAGCATGTGGGGGTGTATTTCAGTGTAGGCATAGTAATAATGGAAACAAGTGAGATAAATATTAAAAGTGACAGGTTTAGACTTTGGAAGTCGAGATTTAAAACTCGGTTATAAGTAACTAACTTTTCCGTTATTATTATAATTATGGGTTATCTAATGATAATAGATTTAACACGATGGAACTTGGCATGCTTGTAAAATTAGCTTCAGCTGACGATCTTTGTAGTTGATTGAAAAATGAAGGATGGTTCGACCTTATCATATTTCTGTTAATACAATGAGTATGATGTATTGATAAAATAAACAAAGGTACCATACTTGTAATATTAAACACAAAACATTATTTATTTCTAGAATTGATAATGAATATAATTTATTGTAAACATATTATTATCCAGACATCGAATACTGCAAATGCTCTCGGTCTACAGAAACGTAGGATATATCACTTTGACATGAAAACTTTCGACTCCTATTGGCCCGGCATGGCCAGGTGGTTAGGGCGCTCGACTCGCAATCTGTGGGTCGCGGGTTCGAATCCCCGTCACACCAAATATGCTCGCCCTTTCAGCCGTGGGGGCGTTATAATGTGACGGTCAATCCCACTATTCGTTGGTAAAAAAGTAGCCCAAG